CAAACCAAGCTCATCAATAAGACACAAGACACATTCAGGTAATTAATAATTTTACAAGTATGGATCATTTTTTTGTTGTTGTGTTGTTTTTTTTTAATTGCTATTACTGTTTTTATATTGTTTTGCCAAGAAACTGCAAGTTTACCACTAATTTAAACATAATTTTTCCATTATCTAAATGCCTTTTCCTTATCCATACAACCAGATTGGATCACAGTACAAGAGCACTGGAGTTGTGCTGCCATTACTTTTGCCACATCAAGTTGAAAAGAATCCACTTTCAATGGTGGATGGAGAAGAATGACACGAAAAATTTGTAAATTCCCTCAAGAGACTGCTCAAAATGTATTTTTATATGACCTGCATGAAGCTTTGAGAAAACAAATGCGTTATGTTTCTACAAGAATACCAGTAGAATACCTCCAAAAGCTTCAACCGTTATCACTGACAACTACATGCTGTCAGACCAGAACTTGCTTAGAAACTTCAAGTACGACAGTAAGTGAGATAAGAAGCAAAGCAACCAAAAGATCTTTAGTGTCATGCATCAAGAAAAATTTTGAAAAAGAAACAGAAAAAATTGATTAAAACAACCCTAAGATGATGTCACACTACATTATGGGTGCTGCTCTGGGTGACAGAGAACAAGACTGACAAAATACAAGACCGACAAGACTAGTTCCATCGTAAACTAGTTTGGCATAATTAGAAGTGTAACTTGCTTGAAATAATTGCCATGCCACAATAAAACACCATGGTATTGGTTTTTTCACAGTTTACACTTTGAAATACAACAGATAAGTTTCTTAATATATTCATTAACGAACTGAACACAAGATGCCACAATAAATTATACTGCAGGCAAAACTCTGAAAACAAATTAAATTTGTTATTGGATTAATTGGTATAAGTCTGTCAGCATAATGTGCTTTTCAAAAAAGGATTACACTTATTTTTTATTTATTTTTATTTAACTTTTAAATACCTAAATCACCTTTTACAGAAATTAGCTCCTGTCTTCTCATACCGAAGGATCCTACATAGTTAGATGGCCACAGACATCTAAATTAATTAAGGTGAAACTAAACTAAATGGCTTAGAAAGTATTAGTCCCAATTACTCTATTATATCATAATAATTACCCATAATGTCAGCAAGGATCTAACTGGTAAGCCCTCAAGCAGTGAATTTAGGAAAGGGAGAAGGTCACATCTCAGTTATTTGGAGTTGTCTACATGAACTGCATGCTCCTTTAGCAAGTCCTAACCAAACTCAAATGAAAACTACTGTCATGACTGGGAAAGAAAGTGAAGTTGTTCATTTAGCACACTCCTTGGGCCAATTTGATGTCTTGTTCAAAGAAAAAGAAATTAAACATGCCATGCAACAGTATAATTGTGGAAAGCAGCATTTTTTTTTAATCTTTGCATGAATTTAACATTATGTTTGAAGACACAAAATATGTGAACAAGCTTTCTTTAGAAAAAACATCAGGGCCAGTGGGCAGTAAAGACCTTACAGCACCTGCCACAGCCACCTCTGCTGAAGAGTCCAAGAAGGAGTACTGTTGCAGCACTGTGAGACAAAATCAAATCACAACAGCGCCAAGCAGGCAGGACGCTTCTTTAGGCAATTTCCTTAAGGAATACTCTTGAAAAAAACTGCAACTCCTTTTGAAAAATGATTTTTTTTTTTTTTTCTCAAATATTCCATAGGTAACTTCATCACATAGATTATTGCAATCTGTATAATCTTTGTGAACAAAAATCAATGCCTGGATTACTTTAAATGAGGAAAAAAAAACATGGAGGCCTCTTTTCAATCTCATAATTTTCTTTCACATTTTTATGAGCTTCTTGGAATCCACTGATAGCAACAGACTTGGAGAGTTTTCTGTGGCTATTTTAATTCCAGTGAAAGTTTAGTGGTTGAACATTATGTTACTGAATTGATTTGAATTTAGAATTATATAGATAAAGTTGATAAGAGCTTAATCAAAGCAGGTTACACAGAACCTGTAGATAGTATCAAAATTAAGAATAAAAAATGAAGAATAACACAAAGAAAATGAAATAAAGAAGACATTTATTGAACATAAGGTGACTTAATGGTTTGTGATAGGGATGGAATGTATGTAACCAAATAATGACGCAAGTTCATGCTAATAATTTTTGATCACTGCATAAAAAGATCTATCAGAATCTATTCACTCTTTGTAAGGGTCTTATGAAGTCTGCATAGCCTTGTACCAATACTATGTAGGCATGCTTCATGCTTCATCTTGTGTGTTAGATCACAAGTATGATAGGGCTATATCTAGGAGATATTAAATGTGGAGGAACCACTGACTCTTGAACCCAGCCTGTAATCTTCATTGAAACAAGAACAGTGCTGAAACTTCCAGACAGTGGAGCAATCGACCTCTGATAATGATTCAACAAAATCATCAGATTTTTATCTGATGAGAGGTGAAATTAAAATGGAATTTTTGGTTGCTAAAAATCATCACAGCCAGACCAGAAACAGGAGAGACTAATACTACTAAATTGGCAGTAATTTCTCAACATCGACAATAAAAGTTAAGCTCTCTTGTTCTACCTATAAGCTACCAGACAGGCAAAAAAGATACCCAAAGTAGCTGACCAAAAGCCTCCAAATGTAGTAAGACCAGTGTCTATCACAAGGACTTGCAAGAAGCTTTATAGCTTCAGTTTAGCTGAGATTATATTCGTACTGACCTACGTGAAAGTTTTCTCATGAAGAATGCACACAGGTGCGTACATACCAGAAAATTCTCAAGTTCATATCATAGACGAGACTATTGAAACACCAAAGATTTAAAATTACCTAAGACACCACCTATTTTGCTCCAAAGGAAGACATTTACATTAGTACTTAAACCCTACCCGTTAATCAGTAGTACCCTTATATTTTTAGAATATTTTTAGGTCCTCAAAACAATGTTTTTGTTGCACAAACCACAGTTCTCTCACAAGTTGGCTTAAATAATAGCAAAATTTTCATTGACAGCAATAGGTTTGGATCAAAACCAAAAGTACAACATTGTGCACATTTACAAGTATGCACTCATACAGTAGTAGCAAAGGAACATATAATTATATCCATAAAATGTATATCTGAAATTGTGAGGATTCAAAAGCATTTTTATTTCAAATTAGCTTTTAAAGACTATGATTTGCCTAACATGTTATTAGGACCTCTTCAAATGAAAGAAGAAAAATGGATTAATAACAAAGAGCATACTGATTGAAATCTAATTTCTGTTATCACAGCTAAATGATTTTCACATGCAAGCTGAAGCTGTGTCTTTTGTGATACATGGTCCCCTAACATATTGTCACTAATTTCTGCTCTTACTAAAAGCCGTTTTTGATTGAACTGAAAATAACTGTTCCTCATGTAACTATGCAATTTAAAATGTTTTCAGTTAAGTCAATTGTCGAACAAGAAAAATAAGCACTCCTGAACAGTGTTTTCAGCTGAAGAATAGTACCCACACTCTTAAAATTAACATATACTTAAGTATTAGCACTGCTCATGACGCTTTCCTGCAAAATAAACTCAAAATATATTTCCTAAATCAAAATTTCTATTACATGAAATAATTCATGTGTTAGCTACCAGAATACCTTCAACAGCTGAATGCACTGAAAATCAAGCATCTGCTGCATGTGTTTAGTAATCTTGTTAGGTGCTATCATAAGGCACTTCCTTTTATGAGCAGGCTAGTAAAGACTAGAAGTAAAGATCTTCTAGAAAGCAGTGAGGAATTAAAAATATCATAAAATTATGAGGACAGTGATAGCAAGAAATGTAAATGATGGGACTTCACAGAAAAAAAGCTGGAGCTTCTTGCTCAACCACAGCCAATAGCTGCATAGTAATATTAGGCCAAGTGCATTCTAACTTTTCTTTTTCCTGGAAAATCCATTTAATTTTTATTTCAAATTAATTTCTTCTATCACAAATGCTAATGAGCACACTAAGTAAAGGAACTCACCTTCATAATGAGTTGATGAGATTTATTTTCTTTCCCTAACAACGAAACATTTGATCTTAAATCATATAATTAGGACACTGAAAGTGTTTATGAACAACAAAAGAAGTGTAGATGTTGGTAATGCCCTGGGAATTTAGTTCTCCCCCTAGTCTAATGCTATAGGTACTTGCAAATATCATTGACAACTAAATTATTGTTATAAAATAATAATTTTGATTTTGACATTCTCAAGACCTCTAATTTTTTGACGAATTTTACATCTTCTTATTACCAGTATTACCAGAAAATGTGGACTTGCTTCAGTTCTCATTCCATAGTTTCTAGATCCTGGTTTGGGACCTAAATCCCAGAGTTTTTACCATACAATACATTTGAACAGTCAGACTGAAACAATTTCTTCTCTCAATTCATAAGAAAAAAACAAAAAAAAAACAAAACAAAAAAAACCCACCACCTTTTATAAAGTAATTACTCACAGTTGTTAGAAAAGAATACATAAATAAAAGCAAGCTGCCTGGCTATGTAGCAAACCTCACATTTAGGCTTCTGGAAGTCATTATACACAACACACAAACTCAATCACCTGATACCTCTCTACTCTTGCCAAAATTCTGAGGAAAGTTGTAGTCCAAGAATCAACGACTAAAATCCTGCGTATATAGTATCCATGCGTAATAGTTACGCATGACTGCGTAACTATTTCAGTGACAGATCCTCATATAATCCTCATATACTGGAGAAAATAAAACCATCCCCTCAAATGTTTGTGAGCAGAGGAGATCAAAGAGGAACAAAGTTGAATCAATTAGCTTTTCAAAAGTCAAATGAGAGAGGATACAGTCATATTACTTATCTGTTACTAGGATTAAAAAAAAAAAAAAACAAAACTAAGAATCTCTTTGTTAAAATTGAATCATAATTACTAACTGAACTGAACATGAACATGTCATCAGTGGAATAGTAAATGTATTATACTTACATGTTATTCACAGCACCCAGGGGACCATCAGTCTGCTAGCTTTCCAATTCAATAAATAATGATGATTTCTTGCAAAAAAGAAACTCATTTCTGGAATGACAAGAAACACACACACAAAAGAAAATCAAGAGGTTAAATGATCTGCAGTTTTCCCAGACGTCATATGCTGTCAAGTAATATAATATGAAAACAAAATCTCAACTGGGGAATTATAAGTACATGTTACAATTTCATTTTACAAACTACATAGATCTTTATTTGTGAATGTGAACACATTATTAACATTTTATGAGAGTCAAGAACACATTTCATATGCAGCTAAGAAGTTACTTGAGCTGCAGGGAGGTTGTTTTTCTTTATTTCCTTTGTGTTTTGTTTTTGTTTTTTTTTTCCCTACCAAAAACAGCTCAAGCTTTTCAAGAAGCACACATTTGGTTTGAAATGAAAAGATCTTTCACAAGTACTGTAAAAGAAATGATATACTGGCATCTTGGGTGGATTTTTTAAAGAAGTCTTACAAAAACAAAAAGTCCTTGAATATTAATAGTAAAAAGCTTTGAAAGATATCTTGTAGATGACATTTCAGAATATCTCCTGTTGTCCTTTTTCAGTATTTATTAACGAGAATAGATGAAGGAAAGAAACAGTCTGTATAATAAACTAAGAATGAAATTATTTTAGTTGTGGATTAGACTCCAAAGAAAATGAAGAATATTTATAGTAGTTATGGTACATTTATAACAATCAATCCGTATCTACTGCTCTGACAGTAACTTAAGTGAGCTTTATCATTTTCTCTATTAGGAAATAAGAAAAAAAAGTAAGAAAATAATTTTTGTCTCCTGCATTTGTAAATGCATATCCTCTTCTTAGAATAGCTAATAAGTTTTCTTTCTTGCTTTCAAAAGATATCAAAAGTCAGCGCTGCAGGATGTTCCTTGCTGTCAACAGAGAATTAAAAAAATATATATTTTAAAAGAGACCATATTCCTGCAGATTCCTGAATCGTTAATGTAAACCTTGTGATGAAAAGCTTGCTTTTTTAATAACTCTCTGTGACCCCCTGTGAGCTCTTCTTCAGCCATCCTACAGAGGAGCACATTAACTGCAGAGAAAATCTGACTTAGAAATTTTAAGAATTTTAAATCTGTTGGTATGAGAGAAAATGCCAAGGCAGATCTAGAGTGAGAATGTTAGACTGTCCAGTAAGTTTGCCTCATAGCTGAAGTCTTATCAACTTAATTACAAGAAATAGAGTGATGGCATGCAGATGTTCAAGTAATGAGTCCCAGGTAGCAAGATCCAGCTCTCCAGTTTTGTCAGCTTTCGAGGAACAGTGATTTTGACATAAGCTATTTATCTAGCCATAAAGGCAGACTGGCTTTAAGTACACATGGCCAAGTTTAGCTTAGCTTACAACATTCAGCAAATCAATATAGAAATGCAATGGTGTAACTTAAAGGATCAGAAACACATTAAAAGAATCTTTTTCCAATAATTTTCAGGCTTCAAGCATACGTCAGTAATCTGGACTTTTAACAAGTCTCACCTTTCATGAATTCTGACGTTAAGCAAACGAAAACAAGTGTCAGGAGTTTAAAAAGGTATGAAACACAGTTATCTTTTCAGGCTGGTAACAGGGTATGCACATTATTTCTCACTGATGGTTCAGTCCTGCCAGCTACCTGGAGAACCATTTTCTCCTCTCAGAAGGTGGTAAGTGACTCTCATTTCTTAGCCAATTAAAAAAGGCTAATTTGTACTTGATTGCAATTGTGTGGTAAAGTCAAGAAATCAGACTGATGACAAAGCAGAAATTTCCACATACTTGGGAAGCATATTGTAAAGCTAACATATTACAGTGGCATTCATTAACATAACTCCCATTTGAAAAGAAAGTTACTGAGGCTGACTGGTCTGTGTGTAAAGGAAACAGAGTGCTTGCTTAAAAGGTACAGCCTTGTTGGAATTTATATTCCATCTTAAAAAAAAAAAAAAGAGAGAAAAAGAAAAAAAGAAGTGACAAGTGCCTTCTCTCTGATTTTCATGTAATCACATATAATAACTTATTCTCTGGAAGTAAGTGTTAATATTGCAGATACACCTACTGTGAGAATCAAATCCCTTGAATCAAGATTCTATTCTGAATTTGGCAAAGCAAATTGCCTCTTCTTCCATTCATTATGCCTATAAAAATGTGCATTCCCTTAAATGAGTTAGAATTTCTTAGCATATTAAAAAACAAAAAACAAAAAACAAAAAACAAAAAAAAAAAAAAAGAAAAAAGAAAAAGAAAGAGAAGAAAGCAAAAGTAGATAGATTGATATTTAATAAGTTATAGATAGCCTGAGATAGTTTGGGAGATTCTCATTAACCCCTTGCCTATTTGATTAGTTCAGTTGATATTTAAAACTCTTACTGTGGGTTCACAGTAAGAGAATATTAGAAAGCACTGTAAAATCATCTCTAAATTTCTAAACTAGAGAACTACAGTCTTTCCCTCAAAATACATCTCCAATAAAAATACAATTTCAAAAAATCATACGTATGCAGTTCACTTTTCCTGACTGCCACAGAATCAAAGATTAAAGTATTCTTGTCTAAGAATGTGGTAGTTTGATGCAGCCTCTCAGCCTTGAATGAAACTTTTATGTTTTGCATCAATGACACATACACAGCCACACAGCAGTACGACTGCCACCTCAAGTCCAGGCATGGTAAAAGTAATGGTTGTAGAAAATGAATCTGCAGTAGAATTAAGAAGTCCGTTAAGAATTCCATCTCAAAGCTCGGTGACTAAAATCACCTCTAATAAAATTAAAGAGCTGTAACCTATGCTCTTAATATTTAAAAATATTTTTCCACTGACAAAGTTTTTATTAATGTTGCTGCAAGCTCAGCACTATGAGTTAACAGCAGTACTCACAATTCAAATAGTAAAGAAAGTAGTAAGAGAAGAGTGTAAAGAAAGGTGAGCTAATTAAAGATAAAAATGTCTTAACACATTTAATGAGCATGACACATGATTGCTGTCATTATTTTTGTGCTGTTACTGTATTCCTATATTTTAAATTAATATTACTCAAAACTGCTTTAATGAATGATGTCAACAACACCAAGGGACTTCATGAAAAATAAAAGTTGAATGATAATGACTGTGTTTAGTAAAACATGTACGATTTGACTATTATCCATACTCTCAGAGTAACACCTCTTAGTTCTCTTTATAAATATTCTAGAAACACAGGATTTCCAGAGAATTCAGTTTATCATTTAGTACGTTCACTAATTTTCTAAAAGAGAACCAAGGATCTTTAGTCAGCTTTGTGCTCAGCTACTTTGGCTTTCTCTATGAATTTTGTTTTACCCTCAGTTACTCCAGTAACATCTTCAGTACATGAGGCTACCATGTACCTTTTCTAGCACTCTCCTCAGTTTTTGTATTTTTCTGTTTGTTTGTGGGTTTTTTACTGGTTATCACAAAGTTAACTCATAGCATAGCTATGCAAAGTAAATGAAGTTTTAAGGATAACAGTAGGAGAAACAGAGTTGACTCAAGGCCAACCAATTATCCCAAAACAAAATTTGAAATGTAAGTCTGGGTTGGAAGTGTTTAGTGCTAGTCAGTCCCTTTAAATTAACTTAGAGGAGCATAAAATAATAGCACAGAAGGGAGCCAAACAGTGTTTATAATGAGCAAAATAAAAACAAGATACAACATGAGTGCATTCTCTTTTGAACAAAATAATGCTGAATTGTGCCTAATTTCTGCAGTGTGAGGAAAACAGGAGGGCCAATTAAGGACTTTGCTTCAGTTTCAGTTTTCATCTGGAAAATAGATTAGCTTATCTGGATCTTACATAGCATTGCTCTTACACTCAGACTAAATTATTTACCTTCAAAACATTAGCATGCCAATATAGCAGAGTGGCATGGACATCTATTCAATCAAAAGCCCGGTAGGAATTTAGAATACAGCAACTAAGGAGCCAACAGAGCAGTAGTATAAAACAATTCAGGATAGCACTGGCTTTGTTCAAACAGAAATTTCAGAAGTTCTACAGCTAAGAAGAATTAACTGTAAGACTGAACATTTTAGTTGATATTTCTGCTGCTAAGAAATCAAGTAATAGATGCTGTAATTAGTAAAAGTTCGGGTTTATTTTTCTTCCAGATGAAAAGTGGCATGCTGAAGTCCTTTTTCTAAGGAACTGGTTCAATACAGAGTCACTAGGGAAGAGTAGTGCCTACAATTCAGGAATCCATCTCCCTACGTTTGCTTTTTTTGTGCTTGTTTTATGACTGCAACATAAGGAGCAGTTCATAAAGACTAAGTGAAGACTGCTTTAAATACTGGCCTGAGTAGCACTTAAAGCTTCTAGGGATGTGGTAGAGCTTATGAGAAATGATAAACCAGTGCAAAAAAAATTGTCTGCTAGCACAGTCACAGTGTTAGGTAGTGCTGCTTTAAAGGCTTTGGAGTATTTCTTTTGCAACAGTGCTGGACAGATGTAGTCTTTCCTAGTACAGTCTCCTTTTCTAAAACAAATACACTGAGCAATACCAATTGCTGGCCTGACAAGATTATTTTTAGTTAAATCAATCTATTTATAGCATTTATCAACATCATGAATGACTGCAGAATCTTTTTGGAGCCCAGCACAGCGCAGCTGTATCTTGATAAGAGCCTCAAGCTAACACACTAGATGTTGAGGGAATACTGCAAATAACATAGGTTCTGGTTAATGTTTTAACTATCTCAGTCAAACATTTTACAGTTCTCTTTCAAACACTATTAATATATTTCCTATATTTCAAAAGTACTGAAACAAAATTCTGCAAATAGAAAACAACACACAAAAATATAAAGTTCATTTCTGGTGGCTTGTGTGTGCTTTTGGGAAAAAAAAAATACCGCAGAGAAGCAAGCCAGGGTGTTTTGAATCCTGGCTGAACTGAGAGCTATTCTAAATCAATGGACTTCAGCACGTCTTGAGAAGGAATACTCAACATGTGTAGGTTAACATATGCAATATTTACTTCATTTTCTATGTCTCCCTCATGAACTTGCCATGTTGTTTCATCTTCTG